AATGCTGATTGGCCAGTAGCCAGGCAGGAAGTATAGGCGGGACAAAGAGAGAGGAGAATTCTGGGAAGCAGAAGGCTGAGTCAGGAGATACTGCCAGCCTCTGCCATGAGAGGCAACATGTAGAGATAGAGGTAAGCCTTGAGCCACGTTGGAAAGGTATAGATTTATAGAAATGGGTTAACTTAAGATGCAAGATCTAGCTAGCCAAAAGCCTGAGCCATTAGGCCATACAGTTTGTAAATAATATAAGCCTCTGTGTGTTTACTTGGGACTGAGTTGCTGTGGGACTGGTGGGTGAGAGAGATTTGTCCTGACCATGGCCAGGCAGAACCAGGAAAACTTCAGCTACAGCTAACACTACCCAGCAGTGAATCAAACAGATCACAAACAAAACGTGTCCCTAAACTGCCCCCAGGATGTAACACCAAGGAATCTGTCCATATAATCTACTATATTAAACAAAGTTTGTCACTGAAGGAAGAGCTCTACACTAGTGGCAACAGCAGTAATCATTTTTGGATAGCCATACTGGGCGCTATTTAAGCTCATTAACAGTATGTGAAATAATCCAGTAGATTAAAGTCTATTAATTCCTTCACTCTCCCGATGAAAAATTGAGACACGAGCGTTAAGTGATGCAGTCAAGTGATACACGCGGCACCCAGACCCCAAACTGTCTCTGAGGCTGTGGACTGTGACACCTGAATATAAGTGACAGTCATGATTTAAATGACAAGCAATCCAACAACAGCAAAGCAAGAGCTAAGACAGGAGAATGCCACAATCTTAAGAAATGGATAGTGCACAGCAAACCTCATAACAGACTATTAGGGTAATTCCCATTGAAACTCACACACCCACAAAACCCAGATATTTTAGCCCTGAGTTGGAGATGCCGATTAATACGTCATCATGTCAAACACGAAAGAGGTAAGTACTGAATCTAAAAATACAGACGAACCACGATTTAGAGAGACCATTGTCAAAACTTTTAAAGAAATTAACAAGAAGAGAATGATGAGAACCATATTGTTCAGTGGGTGATGCCGAGATACAAGGTCCACACTATAAAGCAATGCTCTCTCACTCTCTCTCTCACTCTCTTTTTAATATAATTTTTTTATTCTTTGGGAGTTTCACATCATGCATCCCAATTCCACTTAACTCCCAGCTCCCCCATATCCTCCTCTCAACCCTGCAACAACCCCCCCCAAAAAAAGAAAATAAAACAAAGTAAGCAAGCAAACAAACAAAAAGATAACCTAAAACAACAAAAAACCCTTTGCTTCCTCTTTCCCTCCTCTCCAATACCTCTTCAATCATTCTGGTGGCACTGGGGGCCTCCGCGTGTCATATAGTCTACCCTTCTGTCCAATCAGCTTTATTAGCAAATGTTCATTGCAATGAGTCATTGGTCTGGTTCAAGGCCCCTGGTTTCTGGAACACCATCATCACTGAACCCTCACCAGAACTCCTCTGGGATATCCTGTGGCCGCCTGAAGGCTTGGACATCCTGTGGGTATTGTTCCACAGGATCAATCCCTTCACAAGCTCTAGCATGTCCTAGATGGGGTAGATGTTAGGGTGGGCCAACCCCAGACCCAGCTATGGGCCTAGATGGTAGCTGAGCTGGTCAGTCTGGACCACTAGGGTCATTGGGGCCACCCGCCTCAGGCGAGGGGGTGGAGTCCACTCCCCTGCTTCCATGCACTCAGGGTTGGTTCACCCTTGCCTGTAGTGAGGGGTGGGGCCATCTCTCTGGAGTGCAGGGGCCAGCTCTCTTGTGGCAGTGTCCAGCGAGAGGCAAGGCCACCTTTCCCAGGGCTGGCTAAGGGTGGAGCTGACTCAGCATGGCCCTCTGATTTCATCTCACATGGTTTCAATAGGCCTTCTGAGGTGACATGGTCCACAGACATCAACACAGATGGCAGTTGCAGCTGGGCCATGGACCTAGACATGGCCCTTGGTATCAGCTTGGGCCCAGATGACATCCTGACTCTGGGGGGAAAGCAATGGCCACTTAGGTCGGGATAGTTCTGGCGTCCTCATGGCCCCTGACACCACTAAGGCCTCAGGGTGAGCCCCAACACTGGGTTTCTATGTGACCTTTCGTGGCAATATGGGACTCTGATTTCAGCACAGACCCCAGTCATGGTTGAACCACAGACCCAGACATGGTCCTAGGTGGCAGTGCAGACCGCTCAGACTGGCACAGGCCCCAGCAGCGGTATGGCCCTCAGACACCAACATGGCCCTCAATCTTGGATGTCTGCATGGCCTTCGATGGTAGCAGGAGCCTCAGTCATTAGCAGAGACCCTGGATGTAGTAAGGCCATGGACCCAGACATAGCCCTCAGCTGCAGCTCTGACCCAGATGTCACCATGACATTGAGTAGCAGTTCAGGCCACTCAGATCTGCATGCATCCTGGCCCTTGGGCACCAACCTGGACAGAGGTAGATGACTGTGGGCATCCTCATGGCCCTCAGTGGCAACAGGAGCCATGTACATCAATCCAGACCCTGGTTGTTATAGGGCTACAGACCCAGACATGGCCCTCAGCCGCAGCCTGGGCCCATATGGCCCATGATTCCAGAAGGCAGCCCAACCACCCATATCTGTATGGCCCGCGGTAAAATAGCATGCTTTCTTAAAACAATCAGAATGTGTTACAAAACATACTGAAAGTGAAGAAGGCCATTCAGAATAATGAAATCACACCATTCCTAAAAATAATATCATTAGAAGATGGGTGCCTGTAGGAACAAAACTATAAAGATAATTTTTACCAGATACTGATAAAGAATGCCAAATTATGTGGGATATAGAAGAGGTTCACATTAATTGAATATAATTCAATACAACAAAGATATGTCTGTCTAAAGATATGTGTAAATTAAGCGCAACTTCAACCAACATTGCTGAAAGATTATAGATGGTAATGGCAAGTCGATTCTAAAATGTGAACTGTACACAAATAGAGTCAAGAATTTTAGAAGAAGAAGAAAAGCCACCAAAACTTAATGGAACTTTATTTTACTAGATTGAAACACATATTCCAAATGTATAACTCATTGGTAGCTCAGAGCTAATAGATAATAGACTACAAGAAGACAAATGCTAGAAACACACCTCTTTGCATATGATAATTTATCCGTGCACTTTGGTGGGAAACGGAAAAGCGTGTAATGCATTTTTGAATTGGTTGATTAAGTCAAACCGGCACTAGAGAGCACAGACAAACAGGTTAGGCATATTGGACAATAATCTTGAAATAAAAGCTGGTGTACTCTTTAATAATGTGCATATGACTAGACCATAAAGACAGTCATGCTGAAGGCATGAACACCTCCCAGGGAAGACAGGAAGAAAGAGCCAGGGCCGGTTTGGTAGAATGTAACATATGGCAGCGTTTGCTCATACCCAGAATGTATGAAGAGCTGCTCCAAGTCTCTAACAATATATCAGAACCATTTGAAGAGTCAGTATATTAAAATGAAATAAAGGATTTCTATTTTTGCCACTTAATTATATAATTCCTGAGTGTACTCTATTTTTAAATGGTTGAAAGAGTCAGAATAACAAATCTCTAAGTCTCTTCTCATTTTTCTTAATTCCTTCCCCTCGTTTTCCCCTGGATTCCGTGTACTCCCATCCACACAGTCTCAGGAAAGGCAAACTCTCCAGCATTGGTGCCCAGCCCTCCAAGTGTCTTTTGGTAAATTTGCATCCCTTTTTTTATACCCGTTCTGTTTTGTGTATAAATGTGCAAGTGTGGCTTGCCGGGACTTAACCCTTCACATGTCTTAACTATCTTGTCTACCATGCATTTTAAGGAAAGATTAGCATTCTAGAGTGTAGTCACAGCAATGGCTAAGAATCATTTGCCCATTTGATAGACTTGAGACAATTCCTGGGTTTCACTTGTGAATAAATCTATCTTGAAAATCTAATACATATCTTCGTGGACTTTTGATCACAGTTGTTTAGAACACAGTTAGCCAGTTTGCATTTGATAATGCCAAACTTCTTCTCAACTCTTACCAACTTCACATAGCCATGTATCCTTGACAGCATGAATCAATATTTTACAAATTATTTCAGCTAGGAAAGCAGCAATTAATAATGGTTTTCCTCATTGCTTTATTTGGTATCTAGTGTTTCATACATTTATTGTCTATTTTGCCCTGAAGTCCCTGTTCCACTTTTGTCCATTTCTTGTGGGCTTTCTTATCAATTGATTGTCTTGGTATACCCAAATATTACTGCTAGACCCTAAACCAATAGAAATATTTTCTCACAGTACATTTTCAAGCACAAGGAGGATTTCCTTGGAGGAGGCAGAAAGCATATTTCATGCATAAAAGAATGTGGCTCTTTACAAGACCAGTGCTCTAACCTCTGAGCTATGGAGGGAGGCCTCACCTGAAATGTGTCTCCTTAATCTCGTGATTAGCTGTGCAGTTTAAATCTAATCAGTTTGGGATACAAAATAAATCTTTCCATATATAAGTAACCTTATCCAAATTGCAGTGTAAATAAGGTCATGCAGGTAATGTGAAGTAGGCTTCAAGACAGAGGTAGAAGAATTTAGAATTTGGCTGAGCATACCACACAAGGTAAGGACAAAACAGTTTGTCATACCCGGAGTATCATCTGTCTGTATCTGTCCTAAAATTTCTTTCACTAAAATTGTATGTGTTTAATGGATATGTGTGTGTGTGTGTGTGTGTGTGTGTGTGTGTGTGTGTGTGTGTGTGTGCGTATGTGTGTGTGTGTGCATGAGTGCATGTGTGTGTGTGGTGGGGGAGATGATCTTGTTGCACAGAGCTTGTGGAGGAACAGTGACAGGAGAATTCAAAGTGCTTTTGTTCCAGGAGCATGCTGCCTGCATTGAAAGGGTTAATGGCATCCAGCCAGGAAAACCACCCCAAATTTTCTGCATTTCTCTTACTGATCAAAGGTGACATATTGAAATGTGTAAGGATGGTATGTACTCACCATGGGTAGTAGTAGCTTGGTCAGCCCAAGAGCTGGTAAAGAAGATGCTTCTCCACTGTGCAGTCCATCCTTTACTTTCAACATGGTTCTGCTGGTAATGGCTAAAAAGAAAAAAGAAAGGAAAAGAAAATCCATCCACTATTGGAGTTTAAATTTAACCAATTCTTTCTTCTCAAAAAAAAAATTGGAACAAAAACTAATTTAGTCGAATGCTACCCAAATCCCCATCACTTTAAGATTCATATGTACACACCTAGCCTCTAAAAGAACAGCTGAAGAGACAAGACTGGTTGACTTGACTCAGTCCATAATGACACCTTGCATGTTGAAATATATTTTGTGGACCCTCACAGTACTAAGGGGCTGGCCTGCCTTGACCAGCTACAAGGGCTAGATAAAAGGTCACCATGCTGCCTGGTCCTGTACAAGTGAAGAGGGGGAAGAGAATTCATCAACGAAGTACGAAGTCTTGACTCTGAATCAGGTCTGTGCAGAGAGAGCTCATAGCATAGATTTCCATATCCAGAAGCTGCCGCCAGCAAGCTACAAGGTTCCTAGATTGCACCAAATACCAGAGAATGGTGAAAAACACACTAGTTAAATCTGGTTATACAACATGTCCTTTTAGGATCTTCATCTCAGAGTTACATGTAAATCAATATCACAACATGTCAGCCGGTAGAAAAGTTGATAATCGTGATAACAGACCCACAAAGCCAGCGATAAAAACCATCCGCAGGAATTATCTGGATGTGGTAGTACAAGCCTGAACCTCCACCACTTGGGAGGTGGAAGCGGAGAGATCTGAAGTTTATGACTAGCCTGGACTACATGAAACCCGGTTTCAAACAGCAGGTTTGGAGGAGGTGACGTGAGATGGCTTAGTAGGTAAAGACATTTGCCACCAAATCTGACCACCTCGGATGGACCCCTGGGACCCAAACAGCTGAAACAGGCAACTTACTTTTGAAAGTTATTTTCTGACCCCCAATCACTTGCCTTGATGTACATGGTCCAGTGCAGGGCCACAGCCCTCCACTTTCTTCTCCTCTCTCCATATACACACAATGAAATAAATAAATGTAATTTTAAACAAATATCAACAGCACAATGCCTGTTGACTCTATGTGTGCTTTCCCATAATCTGACCCTGGATCCCTGCCTCACCGAGTCTGATAGACACCAGATATTATCTCCTTTTACATAGGAGGTAACTAGCTACCAGAGACAAATTAAGTAGCTTGCTGACAAATAGCAGTTGTGGGCGAACCTAAATAAAACTGGCTTCAGTCTTTTTCTTTCTCTTTTTTTTGGTAGGGGGGGCAGTAAATACTGGGAAATTCTCTCTCAATTACAGCTTCAGGAAGAAGCTCCAAACTTTGAGAGAAACCTTTGGCATTTAATGTTGAATGATAAAAAAAATCTATGGTTTCTTCAAGAAATAGGTCTAGCTCTTAATCAGTATTTGCTACATGCCCTCAAGCTTATTGCCTTGATGGTAAAATCTATTTGACAACCAGGAATGAAAGTGATATTCCTTATAAAACAAAATCACAACTCTGCATTTAAAAAAAAAATCAAGAAAGAAATCCTTCTCAAACTTATATTTCATTTAATTTAAATCTTGAGACACAGCTTATCCAAAAATGACTTTTGCAAGTCACACACAGTATTTCAATCTGTCACTTTGTATTGACCTTCACAAGCCTGAAATACATTGCACTGGACTTGGGCAGCTTCAGGGAATGATAGTAAAGCTGGTCATCTTTTTAAGTCTGATTTTATATCTACATCAGCTTTCGCTCCACTATGCATAGTTCCTGGAAATGATGATCTTACAGCTCACCCTCAGGTCTGTCCCAGTGTTCTTGTTCATTGAAAGTTACAGAGATGAACTCAAGGAATCCCTGTGAAGATGCTGAGCTTATTCAAAAAAAAAAAATGTAAAGAGCCATGCACCCAGAAGACAGTTTCCTTGGTATTTCCTTGCTGAGTAGCAGATTATATTTGGATGCTTTATATAGGTGGGCTTAATGTCTAACACTCACTTTCATTGGAGTTTGTATGCACAGGTTGAATTAGAAATGACTTACTTTCATTAAATCTTGCATCATTGAGTATAATTCTTCTGTGGTCTATTTATCTCTTTTCAACTTAGAGTCTTTAATAACCCCATAATAGAAATTAGTCTTTGGTATGTGATACCATTTCCTATCATGGCTAATGCCAAACACAATCCTTCATCACTCATTCTGCCTGTCTCACGCCATAGTCAGCCATTCTCTACTAACACTTGGGCTAATCAGTTGCTGACATAATAATATGTTACTTCAAATGATATAATAGTAGGATAACCTTGGAAAGCACTAAAGCATTTGGTGTATAAAATTAGCATCACCTTGGAAATCGGGAAATTATAAATATTAATATTTCAGTGTTCTTAACTATATGTCTCTATTTCAAAGTGCCTTTAAATCTCAAAGAAAATAAACAGTTCTTGGGGAAATGACTCAGTGAATAAGGTACTTTCTGACAAGACTGATGACCAGAGTATAATCCCCACGACCTACATGGAGGAAGGAGAGAGCCACCAACACCTACAAGCTGTCCTCTAACCTCCACATGTGTGTTCACACACACACACACACACACACACACACACACACACACACACACACACACACACCATATACCACATTTTTAAAAATTAAAATAAATTGCTCTTTTCGGAATAGTAATTTTCCCCTTTTAACAGACTAGCTGGACGACAATGTCATTTTTGTGTAGCCAAAATAAAATGAATCAAAAGGAAAAAACGCATCTTCTGGATGAGGATGGTGGCCTGAGTATATGTGCCAGAACATGAGAAAACAGATAAAACAGACTAAAAGGGTTGTATTTGGTTTGATATAGTTTAGACTGTTTCCAAGAGGCAGGAAATAACAACAAAGAGAAGACTACAACAGAGAAAACCCTTGAAACTGGAATACAGCCTGAACGGTAGCTGATTTTGTGAACTGCTGGGTTGTAAGCTGAAGAAATATCTAGAAGAGCTAATGGTACCAAGTACTTCAGGAAGTGTGATCATAGGTAGGTCTTAATAAAGAAGGAGGGTTGACAGCATGGAGGGGTTGTCCACATCTGTAATGCAAGCCTTGAAAGGCTTCAGAAAGAGGAAGGCCAGTCCCTGGCCACTCAGCCAGGACTATACAGTAAGAGCCTGTCTCAGAAGAGGGAACAGGAGGAAGAGAAGGATGGGGGTGGGAGCGTTGAAACTGTCCAAGAGGTTAGAACTACACATTCCTTTTGTCCTTTGAAGTTCTAAGGCACTTTGTCCTTGAGTCTCCATAATAGAATGCTAAGAATTTGTTTTCTTGAGGAGCTAAAACTGAAGACATTTGAAGCTACAGCAATCAGTTGGTGGATATTGATATACTGAGCCACACAAAGGTCCTCTGTCAGTGAGAAGCAAGACACTGGAAACTGGGCTTTTATCTCTACAAGACCTTAGAGCAGTGGTTCTCAACCTACCTAATGCTATGACCCTTTAATACAGTTTTTTTGTGTTGTGGTGACCCCGACCATAAAATTATTTTTGTTGCTACTTCGTTAACTGTAATTCTAAGTATCTCACATGCAGGATATCTCATAGGTGACCCCTGGGAAAAAGTCATTAGACCCCCTGAAGGTGTCAGGACCCACAGGTTGAGAATCAGTGCTCTACGGGGAGTTAGAATAAATAAATAATACTGAGATCATTTGTGAAATGGCCGCACTGGATCTGTAAAGATGAGATTGCTCTTTCACATTCCCTAGGCTCCCAATCACCTTTTCTATACTTTTTAAAGTTTTCCTGAAAAGTGAGTTTTGATTTGTTCGTTTATTTGGTTGTTTTATTTTGTGTTTTAAGACAAGGACTCACTGTATAGCCTTGGCTGGCCTAGAACTTGCTATGTGGACTTTTACTCATAGAGATTTACCTGCCTCTCTCTCTCAACCAGCAACTAAGAGAATGAAAACTAGAATCAAAACAGAGAGTGAAAAAAATTCTCCTTGAAAGAAAACCGCCTGAGGAAAAGAAAAATAAGTACAAATGAAAGAGAGAGAGAGAGAGAGAGAGAGAGAGAGAGAGAGAGAGAGAGAGAGAGAGAGAGAGAGAGAGGAGAAACAGAATGGAAGGGGAGAAAAGAAAGGAAAGGAGAAGAGAGGAGAGGAGAGGAGAAGAGAAGAAAAACACACAAAACTCAATAAACTATCCAGAAAACAATAGGTGTGTAGCTGTGAAGAATTAATTCAAGAAAATGGACTGGAATTTAAGGACCTGCATTGCCATATTAAAAGAGCTTTCTAAGTTCTCTCTCTCTCTCTCTCTCTCTCTCTCTCTCTCTCTCTCTCTCTCTCTCTCTCTCTCTCTCTCTCTCACACACACACACACACACACACACACACACACACACACACACACACTTCCATTTTCTTTACTGGAAAGCTCAACTTTCAACAGAAGACATATTAGAGAAAGAACATGTAACAGAGACAGCACTAAAGGCAGCAGACTCCATATAGATTCTGATTTCTTAACAGCAAACAGAGAAAAGTCTGCAAAATACAGAAGAGGTTCTACCTTAGAATTTGACTGTAGAGACTTCCAGTTAGCTAATCTATTTACAAAACAAGAACACAGTGTCTTAGTTAGGGTTTCTATTGCTATAAAGAGACACCAATCTTATAAGGAAAAATTTAATTGGAATGGTTTGCTTACAGTTTCAGAGGTTCAGTCCATTATCATCACAGCAGGGAGCATGGGAGTGTGCATAATGTCAATAAATAACTTGGAGCAGACATAATCCTGGTTACATCTTGATCTGAAGGCAACAGGAAGTGAACTGGGACTCACACTGAGCGAAGTTTGAGCAAAAGCAACTTCAAAGCCCACTCCCTCAGTGACACACTTCTCCAATAAGGCCACATCTACTTCAACAAGACCACACCTCCGAAAAGTGTCACTCACTTTGGGGGGCATTTTCTTTAAAACCAACACACACAGTGACACCACAAACCACGTGCACATTTTCATAGTGAGCCAATGGAAGACAGGCTCCTGAATGGAGGAGAAACTTAACTGAGTCTTTGTCTCTTAACTGAGACAAAGGTTGTTAAGGGAGAGCCCAGAATGGCAGCTATACCCTAGAGTCAAGGGTAATTAGTGCAAATGGAGGTTGACCAGAAGACTCTGGTCTTAATACAGAAACTAGGAACTAGCAAGATGGCTCAGCAGTGTAAAGTACGTTCTGCTCTTCCAGGGGACTGGAATTTGGCTCCTAGCCCCCATACCAAACATCTTACAACCTTCTATTATTCTACCTTCAGGGAATCTGAAGCCTCTGACTTCTGTAGGCACCTGTGCTAACATGATACATCTACCATATTTTGATACACACAAACACATGCCCATAATTGGAAATAAATCTTTGAAAGCAATGACATAATAACAAAGACCATGGGTGCCTTAGAGTCCAAGATTCACAGGAAGTTGAGTGACAACCTGATGATAACTGTCTAGAGAGCTAAGTGAAAGGAGAAAACACTTAAACACAATTACCAACACCAGACCAGTGGGAAATGCCAAAGCAATAATGACTGATTCCCAAGACCAGCCCTCTGGAGGATTGATGCATGAATTTAATACCAATTATGATAGAACTGTCTTAAATAAGGGGTTGGAGAAAGTGAGGGACAGAATTAGTGAAAAGAGACACTTTCCATTTCCTCTACCAGGAAGTCAAATAAAGAATTTGTAACACTGAATAGTACTAAGAAGGAAAAGGCGAGAGGGAAGGAAGTTTGTTGTTATATGGCCAGGTAACTCTGAAAGAATGCATAGGAAATTTTACAAGTACTGGGCAGGGGGAATGAGAGAGGAGTAACCAGGGGTGGGATATCCTCATATTTTGGAATTAAATTTTGAAACTAGAGGTGGTATAATTATACTATACATAAACTGAGATGTATGTAAATGCATTTAATTAGTAGGCTAACGTCGACAATCCAAAGTTAATCTGCAACATCAGCAAAGTCCAAGTCACTCAGAATTTTTAATAAGCTCTGCCCTCATTCTATCAAGAATTAAACACATGTTCTTTATCAATTAAGACAACTCCCCTTCTCAGTTATAGGAAAATGTACATCGACTATCATATACAGTTTCAGGCTACTGGACATTTTAGCAATGATACAGCAGTGAGAATCGAAGACTAGCAAGGATCCAGGTCATCAAACTGAGTCTTCCTATCACGATAGCATAATCATTTTATGAATGAAATAGATGTTTACACACAAAATCTATTTTAATTGAAATTAATATTAGAATTCACAATTCTGTTACATTTCAGTCTAATTCTACAAAATGATAAATATTCAGGAGCACTGATTTCTAAACTGAATTCAGTACATAGGCTGGGCATTCACCAAGTACTCTTAGGGGATGGATTTCTGAGATGAATGATGTAGTCAAGTTGTCTGTTTCTGGCACCTGCTCATAAATGATGTGTTAAGATGCTTAGGAATCTTTGAAAATGACATTTATGTTTTAATTCTCTATATTTTCATATTTTTTGCTAAGTGGTACACTCACACTTAAAGTCACAAGATTGGTGACATTTATTAAATGGGCAGTACTTCTTTGGCTCAGGCATAGGTTGCCAGAGGGAGAGTAGTAAAAAGTGAGCAGGCTTATATTCATGACAAGAGTGTTTTCTGAATGTTCCTGATATCCCTCCTTTGGAACCCAGAATTCATTTCCCTTCTGCAGTAGTAATCAGTAAACACTGTGTGATGTATTTGGTGCTCTCAGACATCTATGGGATATTTATTTTCTATTGACAATACTCACATGCATGCGTCATGAAAATAGACACAGATTATGTCATATGTGTTAAAAATAAGTACTAGGAGAGTCAACTGTAGAGGCTAGAAGTTTCTTTATTTCTGTGTCAAGGCAAAGGATGAGTCAGCTAGACATGTGTCTCTAGTTCCGAATTAGCTTGGATTCAACATGAAATTACACAACGGATGCAGTATTATCTTCATCTCCATAAACTGTTTGTCATTCAGTGTGTTATGTGTCCTCCAGGGACTGGCAAAGGAGATTGCCACATAAATCCAAATTCTTCTAAGGACACCTTTCAAGAATGAACAAGGGGGTGAAGAAAAGATTTTCTATGTCCAGTCACTTTAAAGGAGATATTTTTGTTAAAATAAAAATTTTGGAGATTTCAGCTTTCTTGAAACTCTTATTTTGAAGCCAATGTAACATTTTGAATTCAGTTAACAGGTACAGGCTCCCATTGAGGCATAGTGTTGCAAACATGTGAATTTCTCTGCAATGCAAAGGGCCTAAGAACAATTTCAGTGCAAAGAGATTGTGTGGACCCTCTGCACTATTACCTAAATTATGAATTTGGTTAATCATTGCATTGCCTTCCTCATACTCTAAAGGGAGACTGGTCCTACTCTCTGTCCAACATTTCACACATTAATAAGTAGATTTTATTTTTGTATGAAAACCTACTTAAACCCAGCCAACATCCAATTGCCACACACAAGTTACCACACAAAGCAAGCTTCATGTTTAAAACAGAAACTGGAGTTTGCCTTGGCTTGTACAAAGGAATATGTTCTGGAGTTCATCACAAATACAATGTGCATTTTGTAGTGGAGGAAAAACACGCCCTCATCCCTGACATCCAATAACTATTGGATTAAATAATTAAATCAGTTTGAAAATGTACACTTGAGAGGCTTGCTCTCCCTCCCTCTTCTAATAGTTTTTTTGGTTCATTATTTGAGAGAAATATCCTGACTGTTTCTTTTTTTAAAATCAAAGCCACTTTGTTAAAAAAAAAAAGGCTTTCTGAGCAGACTTCACAATATTAGCCTTCAGAATCTGACTCTGGCCTTGCGATTTGAATATTAGCAGTCGGGTTTACAGCTGTTCCCTTTAGAGACACACCTTACAACTCCCACATTTCAGTAGTCATTTCTCCCCTCCTCAGCTGGCCCTGGCCCTTAGCATGTTTGCGTGGTGACACCGCGAATGTGCTCCGAGCAGAGTTATATGGCATCATTTGGAGAAACATTGCGTTAATAACCAGAGTTCAAGGGCAAAGGATATAAACGGAGCAAATTACAAGTCTGAACAGATATATAGCTTTTGCTAAAAGGGACATGGGCTGCCACTTTATTTACTGGGCACCGGTGCACTTGTGGAAGGGGCTGGAACACAGGAAGACATTTTTAAACGACCGGCCTCACAGCTTAAGAAAACAACACACATTTTCAGACTGGAAGGAGAGCTAGTGCGAGGATGAACGATTCTGGTTTCCTAATAAGAGCGTACGATCTGTGTAACGCACCTTAAGTTTCTGGGGGTAATTTCACAGATGAGAATATCATTTTATGTGCCACCCTGGAGAGAAAGCAAACGCTTGCTGGAAACCCAAGTTCAGTGGATAATTCCTGCCTGCAACTTAGCCTAGTTTTTTTTGCGATTTCCTGCGTCGCTGATTGTAACCATTTTAACTGTAGCTTCCACTTTAGTTCAAAATTAACGGCTCGAAAGAGTGATTTGTGAAAGTGCTGTGTTCTACTTTACCTGTAAACGTCTGAGCCACCTCTTGGACTAAATGAGAAAGGAACCAGAAATTTCAAAAGGAGAAAGAAACATCAAATAAGAACAAATAAAAGAGCAAACGAGCACCTTCATTAATAAGCAGAGAAAATGAGTATCAGATAATCATTTCCATTGCCTATGTTACTGAATATTATTACTAATAGCCTCAATAACACTAAACATAAATATGCACTTCATTTATTTGTCAATTTTACTGCAATATAGCAAAAAAGTGGCATATAATAATTTTTTCCCCCAGGTCAGGATCTCTCTCTCTCTCTCTCTCTCTCTCTCTCTCTCTCTCTCTCTCTCTCTCTCTCTGTCTGTCTCTCTCTCTGTCTCTCTCTGTCTGTGTGTGTGTGTGTGTGTGTGTGTGTGTGTGTGTGTATGTATGTATGTATGTATGTAAAATATCTGGAAAAATATTCTGAGAATCCTCAAAGTGTTTCAGAAAGCCTAGCTCCTTCACTACATTTAAAAAATCTTTAAAATCCATAATTTAGGACAGATTTTTTTTCTCCTTAAAATGTTTCTGACTGGATTGTTTACTGACACCAAAAGGGATCCTGGGAATCAGAGAGTGGAGAAGTAGTTGAACAAATTACATACATAATCCATGAAAAATTATGCAACTACTGAAACTGGTTGATATATTTACTTTCTAATAATATTAGGAAGTACTTTTGAGATAGCAGGCTGTGAAAATCCACAGTATTCAACTGTATTATTTAATAACCAAATAAGCATGATTTAATTGCATTCACATTGCTGTGTGTTCTATGTGAGGCCGATGGTTAGGATGAATAAGTTTCTTTAAATTTTTCTGCTTCCTAAATGTAACTGTTAGGTTATGAAAAATGGAATATTTAAAGGAGAAATGCATGCATTAATATGTCAACCTCCCTGCTTGAACAGGTTAGCTTAACATATACCTTGGCAGTAAGTTTCAAACTCAGCTCTCCCTTTCCTAGTGAGGGTGGTGTTGAGGGCAGAGAGAGATATTGGGCATTTAAAACTGCCTTTAGACAAAACACATTCTCTCTACATGAAAAAAAAATCCAACCCTTCCTGAACTCTCAGAGGCAAACGAATCAGCGCACAGGCTGGACAGGCTTTTCCTTGACATGAAATGTATTCCCTTTAGTAGCCTGGCTGGCGGGGAGAAATATTTGCTTTGAATGGGCCTGTCCTTCAGTTTCCAAACAAGAGACCAGGTGATACAATGACTTGTGAGCAGGCCCATTTCAATGGCTGATCCTGACATGTATTCTCCTGCTAGCCATCTATCGGCCTCAACCCCTAATGAGTTTTAAAATGACACTTTACACTGAATGGGCTAAAACCATGGGCTTCCAACTTCTTACAAGGATAAACAAAACATGTTCGAATAGCTTATGCTTTTAAGACACATAAATGGTGAAAACGTGACACTCCCTAACATACAAAACATGTATTCTCTGTCTCACTTCTGTCGGTTTCGTTTTTTGTGAAATGTCTTACTGGCTTTGAAGAGCCAGTGGTGGTGGATTTTTCATCCCACATGGCATACCTGAAATATATCCTCCGACTTACAATCCTTCCAACAATTTTCGGTGGTTTTAACATCACCCCGTTAAGAGGTTGAAGAGCAAGTGTGTAGGTCTGATACGACGGTGAGTCTCACACTCAGACCGGGCATCATTATCATTAAAAGCGAATATGAGTTTTAAACCGTCTGCAGTTGGGGTTGAGCTGGCTGATTCTGGTAGAGACATGGTTCGTCAGACAGTCTGAAATCGTGCAGGGCTCGGCTCCTTCGGCTTTCCCTTTCTGCGTTTTCCTTTCTCCCACAAGCTATAATAGAAACTAATCTTCAAAATCTAAACATTCCAGGGCCTGTCCTTTTGTGCAGGCATCTCGCCCTCCCTGTTCAGAGCAGCACTATGCTGTGAGTGTGTTCCTATTTACATGCGCAGGTTCCCCGCTGGTGGGACCCGGGCGGGCAGACAGACCATCCATCATCCATCCTCCTCCCCGCCGAGCACTGCATCGGTCGCCAATCCCATGGCCGGTGGGGCAGCACCTGCGAGACAGCCCGCAGCTTCCCTCTGCTCTCCTCGCCACGCCTCGCGGGTCGGTGGTGCCCTTGTGAGCTACTGCGTTCTCCAAGGCCAAAAGCAGAAAGGTAGGTTCGTGTGACAGGCTTGAATTTGTGCTGAACCCCAAGGTGAAGCTGGTGAGGAGGCGGCAGCATGGGAGTATGCTTGTTTTGCATGGGTCTGTTGCAAACCTCCACTAGGGTTACTCTCTAAAACCCTGGAGATAAAAATGTTTACCAATAGGACGAGAGAGTAACTGAGAACAGTTTTGGGGAATCCGATGTGTTTGCCTCTGGCCTGTTGCTCTTTCTGGCACTGACCCAGGAGAGTTTGCCAGCCTAGTTTGAATTGAGAATGGCCCGTGCACATTGAAAACAACATTACTACAAGAACTAAGGGAACAATATCCTACAGAGTTCATGAGATGAACCAGTCTACAAAGCGCTTGCTGTGCCAGCGAGACCTAAATTTTGATTCCCAGCACCAGTGTAAAAACCAGGAGAGGCAGGCAATGCACCTGTAACCCTAGTACAGGGAGGTGGAGACAAGAGCATCCCTGAGAATTGCTGGTCTAGGTCAAGGGAGAGACCTTTAAGTTCATGAAAAACCCTATCCCCCAAAATAAGGCAAGCAGGGGTTGAGGTTGATACCAATGTTGACCTCAGGCATCCATGCCACACACACACACACACACACACACACACACACACACACACACACACGCTCACACACACACAGCCCACATTTTGAAACACCTTCTATTTGACCCGACAATTTTCCCAAACAGAAACATAACCTAGGCCTCAAGGACCCAGTCCCAGGTTGTGACAATTCAAGTTAAGAAATGGGTGCAAAGCTTTGGAAAACGTTTGCCTTTAAAAAAAAAAAAAAGCATACTTCTCAAGAAAGACCATCAAGGACAACATCCACAAGAGTAGACATTACCCTCAAATCTCTGCCCCTGTCTCGCTTCTGTACTATAAATCATCAAAAGAGAGAGCTATAAGAGAGACTTTGGCCACCCTTTTAGAACTAGAACCAATGTGGCTAAAAAGGAACAGAAATAGAGAAGGGAGGCTTGAGCTTTGTTGCTGTAGAAAGAGAGCAGTTACTCTAGGGAAGTTCAAGGGTCCTCCTGTGAAGGGCCTACCTTTAAGTGAGTGAATCTCAAGCCTACTTTCACCTGTGACTCTTCTGGATGCTTTTAAAGGATTACCTAATGAAGTTGGGTCTATGGTGTGGCCAGGACACAAGTACTTGGAAAACGTAACCAGCACTGAAATATCTACATCAATGGAATTCATGGAATATGACTCTGCTTTGTGTCCTGTGTCATTCACCCCTCCATACTCAAGCGTAGTTACAGGAGTCCAACAGTGCATGAGCAAATTCTCTTTTTCTCTTTTGTAACTCACTCCCGTGCCTCCTTGAAGTAACCTGAAAGGAGTTTCAGGTTTTTTTGAATGCTGATATTGATGAGTTGTTGATAGTATTATTTACAATGATGCCTTTAGGGGGATGAAAGGGAATTCACAGATGAAAAATCTGAACTATATTTCCCAGAGTTTGAGAGTCCAGTATAATGGAATCCTTCTGGTGGTGCTGCTTTTTAGAGGTGTCTCTGGAGTGTGTACTGCATTCTGTATGAACAGAACATTCTTCCTGTTGTCCCAAGTGGAACTGGAATTTCTCTTCCCTTGGTCTTTCCCACCCATGGCCAGCAGAGGCATCTTTCTGCATTGTGCAGTACACTTTTCTTGGAGAGACAGATGGTCAGTTCTTGGATTAGACACCTTGACCTTTTACGGGTGTTAGTCATTGATCTTGATCAGGACTGGATAGGAAGCTCTTGACTCAGCTGCCGACACACCACCGAGAAATTCAATTTCTGTGCCCTCGAAGCCTGTGCTCAATTAGGAGGCCTCGTTATTATTTTACTTTTATTAAGGGAAACTGCAGCCCCTGGTTTCTTGCTCTAGTTTTTAGTTACAGTAATCAAGTTTTCAGTATAACTGGCTGTAATTGTTGGCATGGATATTGAGCTTTCATGGCACACAGACATAGTGTATGCTTGGGAAGGCTCTTCTCCATACCTTGCCGACAGATGGGTAATAATACCATACATTAATACCTCCACATTGGTTTATGTGTGTTTGACCACAGTGCAAGCATAATTATTTTTGCCCAGTAAAAGCTATTAGAGATCTATTTGGTAGGTTTTACGATCAATAGCTCCTGTGATATTTGTGTAGCAGCCACAGAATAATCAATGGAAGGTCGTATAAAGTAAATTACCATCCTCCCATAATGATTCTTTTTTTTCCAGATGAGAATTGGGTTTTATTATTACATCAAGAGCCCCTCACAACGCATGCTCTGTCTGTCAGGGAAAGAGAGATATAAAAGTTGGGAGCGTGTTTTGAACATAGTATTAATATCCATTACTTGAATTTATGTTATTGGATTATTGAATTAGTGGATTCACACTGGAATTCCTTCAGAACCCTTTCTTATGTACTCAGTGGCACAGTTAATAACAGTCGGGAGCAAACGGACGCCTTCGCCGCATGGTGGAGTGAGTCACTTTGCAAAAGTCAATCTCAGTAGCTGTCTCTTTCGAGCAAATTTAGAGTTGCTTAAATGTGTTATATTGACACTGTGACCGAGCTTCTCTCTGCAAGGCTTTTGGAGAATGACTGGTAAAGTAAGCAGGAGCTGAAGTAAGGAAGGCTGAATCCTGTACACCCATCCATGAATAGATCCCGGTGAACCTGTGGGAGGACAGGGGATGGTCTTGCACACCTGTGTTCAAGTGCCCGTCTCCATCTCCCACCAGAGATGCCTAACCTGGATTTCAGTCTTGCAGCTCAAGTCTCGGTGATGGCTGGGCTCTTCTAAAAGATTGCAATTTGCCAAGCAGAGGCATGCAATCCCCCAACTGTCTTAAAGGGACCCATTTTCAAAGTTGAGCTTTTCTTTTCGTGGGTGCAATCAGCTGTGCACTGAAAAACTGCAGCCACAGTTGGATAACTGCAGGCACAACAGGCCACGAGAGGCCTCTTTGCTCCAAATTTTGTACCTGCAACTAATTGCACTTACAGCAAATGGGAGTGGAGAAGGAACTTTTTAAAAAATTTGGGCCAGTAAATTCTCCTTGGAGGAAACAGGCAAGAAAAGAGACAATTACTCACGTTCTTAAAGACAAAGGCATATAAAGATATTTCTCTTCACACCTCTGATCCAGTCTATACCTTACTCTGCTAGCCAAGCAGGAGGTAGTACAGTACCCCAATCTTTTGTGACATCACCTGGGATTTTATTATACTTTACAAATATACAAGAAATACTGTACTTTAAATAATTTACCCAAGGATGTGAAATGGAGACCATGACCATTGATGACCAAATGAAGTGTTTCAGATTATATGGAAGCAAGGGCTTTCTCTTGCCAGAAATTCTGTGGTTATTGTTATCTTGTTTTTATTTTTGTTTTGTTTTTCTGTCATTTTTTTTTCAACAAAAATATGATAAGTAGTTCCTCTAGGTCTCCAGATCCCAATCAGGAGGAATACCAGGGAACACCTCAGTTTTATATGTGTATATATACACATATGCACATATATATTTATTTATATGTATATATACTCATTTGCACAAACTATACAGATGTGTCTAGCATATATATATATATATAAACCATGTGTATGTATCTGGGTTTTATATTCATATACATATATCACTATTTTTGATAAGTCTAGAAGGAAAAACAGCTTTGCCTTTTAAGGGATGCACAGATGTGACCTTTGTCATCCCTAATTCCCAGAGTTGAGACATCTGCTAGCAGGTGAGCCTCCAGGAACCCTAGTCTATCCATTCCTCTATTCAATGTGGTAATATGGAAATTGATATGGAACCCAAGATCTTGCTTTCTACTTTTTGTAGATGACCAGAATCAGGCTCATATTTTGAAATTTAGGCATCAAATACAAAATGACCTTGACATCCTGTTACTGTTCTTACAGAAATACCTCAAGGGAACATGTATCCCAGTGATGGAATCCACCACTGGACAGGATGGCAAAAGGTTTTAATTGTTCTTATTGGCCCTAGAAATTCCCTGTGAGTCACATAGTAGTAGTTAAAAAGCAAAGAAATCTAGACAGGCATAGAAAAGAGCAAAAACCACAGAAGAGAGAACACAGAAAATGACTCTATACATATACAATCAACGTGGTGAGGGTGCCAGGAATACACAATGGGGAAAGACAGGCTCTTCAACAAATGGTGTTGGGAAAACTGCAAACCCACCATCAGAGAATTGCATTACAGCTTCATCTTACACCATCCACAGAAACAAAACTGGACTCCAAATGCATTACAGACTTAAAGGAAAACCCTGAAACTGTGAAACTTCTAGAAGCAAAGTGGGAACAGTGTCACGACATTGGCCTGGGTGTATTTATTTGGAAATGAGCCCAGAATCCCAGACAACGAAAGCAAAATCAGACAAGTGATAGATATTACGTGAAAATAAAAAGCTTCTGCACAGCAAAGGAAACCAGAGGGGAGAAAAGGAGAAAATATTTATAAACCATATGGCAGATCAGACATGAATTTCAAAAATATGGAAGAACGTCTACATCTCAACAGCAAACAACTGACAACCAAATTTTTAAAACAAGCTAAGAACTCGTGTAGACATTTCTACAGAGACAACATATAGAACTGATCATGGTGGCTCCTGTCTACAATCCCAGCACTCAGGCGACTGAACCTAAGTAGTAAATTCTAAGGTAATCTACTCTGTATAGTGAGACCTTGTATTGAAGAAGGAGGAGGAGAGAGAAGAGGAGGAGGAGGCACCATACAAATGGCCAACAAGTATGTGAACCAATGTCCATTATCACTAATCACCATGAAAATACCTTCAAGGAGGGATGAGAAAGATGACTCAAGCGTTAAAAATGCATAATGCAGGAGAAGGCTAATTCAAGCACCCTCTCCACCGTTGCTGAGTCTTAGCTGGGGACATCCTTGTAATTACCTGGGGATTTCCCTAGCACCAGATTTCTCCCTAACCCCACAATGGCTCACTCTCTCAAGTTATCTTTCATTGCTCTTCCTCTCTGTCCCTCCCTCAACTCAGCCATCTTGAAGCCTCGTGTTCCTACCCCCCATCTCCTCCCCTCTGCTTCCCCCTTCCAGTTTACCCAGGATGTCTTTTTTTTTTTTTTTTTTTTTTTTTTTTGGTGCCTGTCCTGGATCTCAATCTGTAGACCAGGCTGGCCTTGAACTCACAGAGATCCACCTGGCTCTGCCTCCCCAGTGCTGGGATTAAAGGCAGCTTACCCAGGATATCTTAACCCTTTCCCCTTCCAGGGGTGATCCATGCCTGTCCCTCTACATCCAGTGACTGATGGAAGCAGATGTCGAGATCCACAGGCAAACACTTGGCCAAGCTCTTTTAGAGTTCAGTTGAAGAGACAAGGGAGGAATTATAGGAGCAAGGGGAGTCAAGATCATGATGGGAAAATCTGCAGAAACAGCGGACCCAAGCTAGTAGGAGCCGGCAGACACTGGACTGAGAGCTGGGGAGCCTGCATGGACCGCACTAGGCCCACTGAATGAGGATGAGAGTTGTGAGGTTTGATCTGTTTGTGGGCCCCCTGGCAATGAGATCAGGACTCATCTGGAGTACATGAACAGGCTCTTTTTAGAGCCCATTTACTATGGTGCCCAGACCTTACTCAGCCTTGATGGGGGTGGGGGGCCACGGGGGCGGGGAAGGGCTTGGACCTGTCCAAACTTGTATGCCAGCCTGTGTTGAATACCCAAGGGAGGCTTTACCTCCTATGAGGAGTGGGTGGGGGTAGGATGGGGTGAGGTGCAGTGGGAGGAGCAGGAGAAGGAGAGGGAAGGGGAACAGTGGACAGTATGTAAAATGAAAAAAAAAAACTTTAAGTAAGTAAACCTATAAATAAACAAACAAACACGTAAATAAATATAAATAAAAATATTTAATGCTCTTTCAGAAAATAGAAGTTTGTTTCCCAGCACCCACATTGGGTGGCTTACACCCATATGTAACGCCATACCCAGGGGAGTCAAATGCCGTCCTCTGGCCTCCATAAACTCCTGCAAACTTGTGCCCATACAGACACATAGTCACACACACACACACACACACACACACACACACACACACACACGCACACACGCACACGCACATGCACACACACACGCACACACTTACACACACAATCAAACACTGAGACACACACACAAATTATAAATATAAATCACAAAATAACTAATTTTAAAGAATTACAATGAAGTATCACTCCACACAGGGCAGAAGACATCTTCTTTCCTACATACCCACACACTGACAAGGATGGCAAGAATCTGAAGAGACTGGGATGCTCCTGCACACTGTTGGTAAGATCATAAAAGAGAGCCACTACTGTGAGAAATAGGCTAATTTAGCCTAGATGAAAACCAATGCGATTACTCTCACCAGTGTAAGCTAAGTGCTGTTTGCTGAATTTTATATTAACAGTGAGAGGCAATTATTAACCTTTAGTGTTTTTCTAAGGGGAAAAATAACCAAGTTTCAGAATGGGTTTTAAACTTATGGTATGATAAAGAGATATTCAAAAAGCATAAATCAAGGATCCTAGGCCCTTTACCATCTTATTTGATCTTAATCTAGGCTTCTTTAGCTGAGGACTATAGTCTCCCTTGAAAAATGCCTTCAAGAGAAAAAAGTGCAACTAGAAATACAAATTAACTCCTCAAAACTCATGTGAATGTGTGTGTGTGTGTGTGTGTGTGTGTGTGTGTGTATGTGTTGCATGTACCTCTTTGGGAGGGTATGCGCACATGAGTGTGTACCTTTGTGTGTATACAGTAGAGGCCAAAGGTTGATGTCCGATGTCTTCCTCAATTACTCTACTGTATCTTTTGAAACAGTATCTCTCACTGAACATGGAACTCATCATTTGAAGGAACAAGGCTAAGTTCCTTCAGTGCTGGGATTACAGGTGCATGGCACTGAACCTGCTTTTATGTGAATATCGGAGGTCCAAATTCTGGTCCTCATGACTGTGTGCCAAACAGTCATTTTCTGACTGAGCCATCTCTTATCCTAAGCAGCTTGTTTGAAACCATATACCCTGCTCCGTGATTGAAAAAAGGTGAGATTAAGGATTTCGATTCTCACTTTCCTTGTCATTGTTTGTGACACTGTATATGCATGGAGATGCTACCACTATCCTTTGAAGAATTTATCAAATAAGAGATTAATCCCCCTCATCCATTCTGTTGAACTTCTGCATTTAGCTTTGGTCCTGCACTACAAAGGGGATGGAGATGTTGAAAGTTCAGAGAAGAGAGATTCAAATAATATAAACAACAGAATTTTGAGATATGTTTAGAAAATTATCCTTCTGAGAGTAAAGTAAAAGATGATGAGACTATGAAATGATCTATGAGGAAATTGCAGGACCATTTTCTCCAGAGGTAAAGGTAATAACACTTGAGGGAATGGACTCAAATTAGGAGCAATTTTATATGTACAGAAAAACATTACATTAACTATAAAAGCTAAAAAGAACTTGTAATGAACAACAAAGAGAAGCAATAAAACACCATTCCTTTGTATCTAAAAATGCTACATGCAAATGAGACATTCAAAAAATAAACAGGTGCTTGGACACTGATTGATGATGAGAATAGTGAAGGGTCATTAGTATCACTTTCTTGCTAGTTTCTATAACAACCCCCTAGTACCTGATCTTTCAGTATTTACCTTATATTACTCTAACATTGAGTTAACTCTGCCATGCACCTTCACCACGATGTGCAAGCAGCATCTCCTCACCAATGTTAGCGGATCCTAGATAATCTTGGTTTTTGGTTTCTGAATAAAATCATAAGCCTGAAGTGAGCTACAAACTCTGCCTTCAGCTCTACAAAATGTTCCTCTCACATTAGACCCCCAGGAAAACAATTCTAGATTGGCCTTTACCCCTCTCTCTTGAAGTCTACATTATTCATATTAGCTGACTTTATGTCTTACCTTCCTCAAGATCTTTGTGTCCTATGATCCTTTGCTCTTCTCATCCAAGGTATTTACTATGAACAAAAATAGTCAACAAACAAAAATTAAACATTAATTTTCATAATGGTTGGGCATCGACCTTAAATAACAATGACTATCTGTTTCTTGGGCTCTTGATTAAAAAAAAAACAAACTATATTTTAGGTGGAACGTGAGTTCTTCCCATTAGTCCAGCTGCTTCTCTTGCAGCTAGGCATGCCTATTCATATACAGGATCTCCAGTGGCTGCATCTCAGCTTCCTGTCACTTCTTCATACGTGGATGTTGGTCCAGCTGTGGAGTGGGAGGATCTAAGCTATTGCGGTGGCCTTGTGTTTCTCACCTGCTGACCTTATTCAGGATCCATAAAGTTCAAGCTGCTGTGATTTTTCCCACTTCTTTGCTGACAAACTGGATCCTTACTTACACATCCACCTGCTCATCTCCCCAAAACTTATCTCTTTAAAATGATGGTCACCTGATTTGACTTTTCTTCACAGGTAAGTATTTCAGTCATCTCCTTTGGGGCCCTTCCCATCCTCCCTGCCACCAGGTCTCAGCCTACTCCAGTTGGCTTCTGCCTCATGCTTACACAAATTGTGCCCTGTTGGCTCAGTGGCGACCATCTTGCCTTACCTTATCTGACAGAGCAAGAACAATTGACCTAACCTCTCCTCTTTCTAAAGACATTTCTAGACTTCTAAGATGTCATGGACCCTGAGTTGTCTTCGGCCTCTCTGTTCACTGACCAGTGTCTTTAGCAGGCCTATATATTAAGTGACAACCTCATTGTTATTTTAAACCTAATACATGCAACTCCTACTTTATGGACTCTTGAAATTCCCATTCCCTGAACTTGTTTTCCCTCATCTTTCTCATTCTAGCCTCTCACCCACTCACTACATTTGCAATGTGCAGTCAACGCTAATTCCACTCCGTATGTCACTTCTTAGAACCCAATTCTCAAAGCAGTTGGGGTTGCATCTTTCTCAAGCAAGAATTGCATTTATCTATTTTTATCCACTTTTACTTCTATCCCATTAGTCCTAAATGTCATGATCCTTTTCCTGGTTCAAGGAATGATATGTGGTCATTTCACATATATTTCCCCAACCCAATTCTTTCCTTACTCATTCATAGATTAGCCTAAAGAAATAAACTCTTAACCCCACCAAGGGCTAACACTAACCTCCTCAACATGGACCTTAATGCTGTAGACAATACCATTTTATCTCACAAGGCTTTCCTCTAAGCTCAGAAAGAACAGTAGTTCCCAGTCCTGAATCATGGAACAAGCCATTCATTTTCTGGTCATCTCTTTCCTATGGGTTCCACAGTAGCCTTCACGCTACATATCCCTCATGAAATATTTATCCATAAAAACTATCCATATTTTAGGAAAATATACATATGTGCATATCAATCCTCTATAACACTTCCTGGGATTTCTTTTCCAACTCACAGTTCCTGGGGTTTATTAGGCTAATTGCTTAAAAAATAGGTTAGCAGATATTCTGAAGTATTATTTAGTTACTATACAGTTTACCTGTTTTAAGTGTGTATTTTCACTCTTTTATGTTTTAAACAAACTCACCACTTTGACAACTATCACAATTCACTTTTAAAATATTCCTCTCATACCAATGTAAAGTCATTCCCTGTCCCATCTTGACTGCAAGCAATCTACTAATCTATATTCTGTCTCTGTAAATTTACCTATTTCTTGACACACAAATGGAATTATACGATATATGACCCTTTGCATATAGCTTCTTTCATTTGTCAAAATAGGAAACATGTTATAAGTAAGTGTATTTAAAAGGAAAATATTATAAAAACATGTCCATTTCATTCCTTTGTACAGCCATTTGCTGTCTAACTGTATGGATATACAATGCCTTGTTTCAGCATTACCCAAGGTGACAGTCATTAAGGCTGTCCCAAGTTTGGAGCTACATATTTTGTGTTTATAGATGTTATTACTTTTAATTGTACAGTTTTGATCTTGATGATTTTGTTTCTTCGTTCTAAGACTATATAAGGCTGGGAGTAGAGGCCTCTGTACCAGGGTGTACCCAGGGCCCAGAAAATTCTTTCTAAGGAGTAAATTTTCCAGATGCAATGCCAATGGGTGAATGGATGGATAACATTTAACTCCATATTGATTTTCTAACACTTCCTTCTAAGGAATATTGAAGTGATTATAGACATTAGAACTGTGACTGACTATTTCAGGAAAACATCAGCTCTGTGGGATACAGTGGGATACAGTCTTGTAAACATGTACTGACTTCATCTTGTAACATTTGGAGAAGTACTATCCTGAGGGAAGAGAAGCATACCTTCTCTCCAGTCTAGTACGTTGAATATCTATTTCTAACTCTGAAAAATCTTAGTGCCATGTGAAGGGCTCACGTGCAATTGTTCAACATTTATATGAACATCTGGAAAAAAATCCTTCAAAGATTCAAGAAAATCCCTTCCCTGTAGTTACACTCAAGTGCTGGAACTGGAAATATGAATGAAAAGTTAGGAAGTAATTCCTCAGTGGGAGTGTGTGTGTGTGTGTGTGTGTGTGTGTGTGTGTGTGTGTGTCTGTGTGTGTGTGTGTGTGTGTGTGTGTGTGTGTGTGTGTGTGAATCTTTTTTACTTTAATGTCTATTGTGAACATTTAAGCCAAACTTAGTCTTCAGGCAGAACTAAGGAAACTTGGCCCCTAGAGGCTGAGGCTAAGAGTCTATGTGTGGTGGTTTGAAAGAAAATGGCCCCCAAAGGGACTGGCATAGGAGGTATGGCCTTGTGGGTGTAGGTATAGTCTTGCTGGAGGAAGTGTATTACTGTAGAGGCGGGCTTTGATGTCTCATATAGGCTTAAGCCACGCCCAGTGGGACAGACCACTTCCTGTTGCCTGCAAGTCAAGATTTAGGACATTCACCTACTTCCTTAGCACCATGTCTTCCTGCATACCACCATGATTATAGCGAACTAAACTCCTGAAAATGTAAGTCACCCCAATTAGATGTTTTTCCTGTATAAGAGTTGCCATGGTCATGGTGTCTCTTCACAGCAATAGAAACCTTAACTAAGACACCATGTAAAGAGAGGGACCATGTAGAGGCATGAACAAGGTAAGAAGCATCTCTATACTACTATGACCGTACTCTGTATCTGTTTCATTGAAACAAGGACATTTTAAACACAATGTTGTTCTAGGAATTTGGAGCTCCTTTGTGATTTATAGATGATATTAGGGAAAGTTCCTTTTAGGAACTTTCAGTCTCATTTATAAAAGAACTTAAGAACAGATTCAAATGAAAGCTTTAGGATACTAATATTA